TATTATTAATCAATCCATATTAATTATTTGTTATTTTTGTATTATTAATAATCAAATTAAATACATTATTAATAATAAAGATATGGGATCTACTTATGCGACTTCCGACAAATAATACGTTCTTGAATGCACTAAAAACTCTCGAAACACCAGTGAATTGGGACGATCTCCTTGTTCTACGATCGCCATTTAGATTACTTTATGCGTTACAGATTGTTGATTGGTTGTTAAGAGGAGGCGATGATGAAAGAAGTCAGATCAAAGATCATCATAAAATTTTAACAAAGAAAGCCTGCCTTGGGCTTTTATTGAAAATAATTAGTTTTTTTGCTATTGGTAATTATTATAATTATTAAAACAATATGATTTGTTGCTCGATGTTTTTATAAATATGGTTAATGGACTTTTTTTTTAATTAACAGATAATACGATAGAAAGCGCCGATATTTTTAAAAGTTCTGATTCCAAGAGTTTAATTTCAAAATTGATTGAAATAATTGGTAAATGTGTAGATCCTTCTCAAAATCAGGGTAAAATCCATATTACAATAAATTTTACATTTTTTATGTCTAAATCTTTATTTTTAAAATAAAACTATTTCTTTCTTACCCAAAAAATTTTTTTAGTTGAAGATGATTTAACAATAATACGACATTCAATGAAATTATTATCATGTCTATGTTTACGTGACGAATCTGCAATATCAATCTTTGTTGGCCATCCAAATTTACGTGAATGGTTAATTTCTGCATTAATTGGTTGTCAATCTGAAGAAGCTAGGAGTCTAATGGCGAATATGATTCTTTGTTTCTGTAAAGATATTAATAATAATATAGTTAACAATAATGGAATGTCAACTGACGAATCAATGAATCAGAATCATCAGGTTTCAATTTCACCTGTTCTTGATCAATTTTCATTGATATTATGGTCGTTCTTGCCCGATGTAGAGAATCATGTTTATACAAGCAAAGAATATTTTGATTTAATGGGTGAACTTATGCCATTCATTACAAAATCTAGTCTGATTTCTTTGTCATCTTTATATAATGGCATCAAAAATCAAATAAAACTGCATCCAATTCAGGAGCAATTTAATTCATCATGTGAAGATACGGTTATCATTGGCTTATTAAAATTGATGACCATCTTGGTGTCTGAGCATAAGGAATTTAAAAATATTCTTGGCGATGGGTATTTTATTTTATTATTGTGATTTTATTTATTATTTCATTCATTCACTTATTTAATTATTCATTTCACCTATTCATATTAATATTTATTTTTTTCCTTGTATCATGTTTTACATTTTATGATGGAAACAGCTTGCTTGAGATGATTTTTTATGATTGTCTTTTTGAAGTTCCAAATATTAACCACTCCAATTCACTTCTTCCACCAAAGTGTAAACTTGAAGTTTCAAGAAATGCTGCATTAAAACTATTAAATGTACTAGTTCATGAATGTCCAGAAAATTTTGTTCGTCTTACAGATTTATATTTGAAACAATTGGATCGTGGTGAGCAATTAAATGATAATTGGAACTATTGCCCTAAATCATGTCAGAAATCTGTAGCTGGATATGTTGGATTACAAAATCTTGGTGCAACTTGTTATGTGAACTCTATAGTTCAGCAATTTTTTATGAATTCCGATTTCCGAAAAAGTTTATTAGCTGCTCCTGTTAATGATGAAAACAAAGACGATTCACTTCTTTATCAACTTCAAATTGTTTTTGGATATTTACAAGAAAGTGAAAAAAAAGCATTTGAGGCAACACAATTTTGCCATGCCTACAAAGATTATGATGGCCAGCCTTTGAATGTCGCACTTCAGATGGACGTGGATGAATATTTCAATGGACTTTTTGATCGTTTAGAGAATAGTGTTTCTGGAACACCTTATTCGATGCTTCTTAAAGAACATTTTGGTGGTACGATTGTTCAACAAATAAAATCAAAAAGTTGTGGTCATATTTCCGAGAAAGAAGAATCATTTTTCGCGATACAATGTGAAGTTAAAAATAAAAAAAATGTAGAGGAAAGTTTAGAACATGATGTTGAGGGAGAATTGTTGGATGGTGATAATCAATATTTTTGTGCTAAATGCGGGAAATCTGTAGATGCAATTAAAAGATCATGTATTAAGAAATTACCAAAAAATTTGATAATGCATTTGAAAAGATTTGATTTTGATATGGAACTGTTGAAACGTGTCAAGATCAATGAATACTTTGAGTTCCCGAATCGAATAAACATGGAACCATATACTTTGGATTACCTGATTAGAAAAGAATTAGGAGGGGGAGCAGGGGTGGGAGTACAAGAGGATATCAAATCAGATAAACAGAACAAATCACAATTTGAATATGAGTTAGTTGGTGTTTTGGTTCATACAGGAACTGCTGATTCTGGTCATTATTACTCTTTCATTAAAGAACGCAAATCTGCACCATCATCATCATCGTCACACGAAAGTGATGAAGAGAGACGCTGGTACCAGTTCAATGACTCGACAGTTGAAATTTTTGATCCAAAAGACATCCCTAAACAATGTTTTGGTGGACCCGAATATGTTTCACAATGGGATCCAGCGCAACAAAAAAATGTTACACGTGTGTTTGCTAAACAATATAATGCATACATGCTATTTTACGAAAGGTGTGAAGATGTTCAGAATATTACTAGTTATGATGAGATAAATAAACAAGAAAATCAAATTGTTAAAGTTCCTGATGACATATATAGTGCAATATGGGATGAAAATATCGGTTTTCTTCAAGATAAAAATATTTTTGACCCGGGCTACTTTAATCTTATGTGGACTGTTCTTCACTCGGTAGATTTTGATAACGAGCAAAAGATTTTAGTTGATGGCAAAGAGATTGATTTGACGATGCGTACAATCCAGTTGGCTTCTGAATTTGTTTTGGGGACATTATCACGTGCGAAAGATAATATGGAACTTAAAGATTGGACAGATTTTCTTAAAACATTATTTCAAACTCATTTGCCAGGATGTCAATGGTTTATCAATAGACTTATTGATCCCAGTCCAAACTACTTACAACAGATATTGATGTCATGTTATGTTCAAGAGGTTAAAGAGCAAATTGTTGAGTTGATAGTTTTTGTCTTGAGAACTCTTAGACAAGGTGATCCAATCGTATATGGACTGGAAAGCGAGGGAGGGGTTATTGATATGACAGCAACAACAAATTTGGTTGATGGAATTTCCATGAATATCGATCCATCATCGTCAACTTCAATACAAATGTGCCATGATAATGGATTAATAGTAAAATTATGTGAAGCGATGTTCAATCTAATTCCCGCTGCACATTTATGGTGGAGGAATTTTGAACAATATTTCTCTTTGATGTATCTCATATCATATTTTGGAGTACCTGAGCGTAATTATATGATAAAACGCGGATTCATAGGAGAATTGGTTAAATTATTCCTTATGGACGAGATTGCACCATTGAAATCTCGTAAAAGAAAAATGGGCGATAAATTTTCTTTGCCACCTTTCCGTTATCTATTAATGACATTGCGTACACTAATATCAGGATGTGATGTTTCTGATATTGGAAAAAGTGGACGTTCGTTACTAGTTGAGACGCAGAGCACCGCCATGAGGTTGACAGAACAAGAAATTTCAATGATATTTGAACGTAATGAATCGGATGATCAATTCATATTTTTTATGAAACAAATAAGAGATTGTATTGATCCTCCGTCTACTGGAGAATTGTTCGCACATTTTGCTACTAATAATGAACACTTATCGGAAGAATTTTTAAGTCAATTGATTCGCGCTGCTGATATTTATACAGTTGATCACGTTAGACCACACCTGGAAATTATTTATTCACTAACGCAAATCCAGGATAATTTGTTAAAATCGAGGATTGATTACACAATCCCTGAAATCTTGAAACTTGCAAAGGCTAATCAAAGTGCACCGCAAATTAGTTCAGAATGTCTTGGATTAATTGAAGCTTTGTGCACATCTAGTGTTGGAGCATATGTTCAAACTTTTCTTGTTACATATCTTTCAGATTGGTTGCCCGAGTACTTTTTGTATAGTCCGTATGAATTAGTCCGTCAAAGAGCCGAAGAATTATTTAATCTTTTAATATTTCGTAATATAGATGAAGCACAAGGGAGTCAAGCACAAATGGAAGCAATTGAAATAATGCATAAACAATATCTTATGTTGTTGAAACATATGGAGCATTTAGAGACTTGTTGGAAAACTACTAGCAGTAGAAGAGGAGGTACCTATTATTATTTATATGTAAATAATATGTAAATTTATTGATTACTAAGTTTTGATAATAAACGTGCTTTTAGTGGCAGATCCATTTGGTTGGAGATTGAGTAATTATTTCAGAATATTGACAAAATGTGTTCGATCGAACAAAGAAAAACAAATGGTAAATTTATGAAAAAATCATTTTCTTTTGTGACTTTATTTACTATTAAAATAATTTATTCTTTAAACCTTTTTTTTTTAAAAAAAAAAAATATAGTTCCATCCATATTATGATAAATTTAGTTCCATTTTTATAGCTGTGGATAATTTAAGAGCTGATTGCGATATCGACAAAAGAGTATATATTATAAACTATAATATATATACATATTTGATTTCTTAAATGATTATAATATTAATCAATTCCTGTAAAATTTTATAGGAAATAATTAACTTTTGGTATACTGTATGTGAAGATTATCCACCAAATATAGAGGCAATTGTTAAAAACCAAGAGTTATTGTCTCACCTTTTCATGTATTATGTTAGGTATTAAAAAAATTTTTTTTTTGAGTTGATGATAATGTGTTAATAAAACATTATAATAATAATAATTAATTCTATAATTATAAGTATAAATCATTCAAATGAGAACATAATTTATAATCAAGCATCTCTTCCTAAATATTATGGATTGATATTATTATGTTGTCGCCATTCACCAGAATGTCATCAAGCGTGGATGGAAGCGACCAATTTCTTTTGGGCTCTTAATAGCATGATATTTGGAGATTTTTACGATGATCATGTTGGTTTCAATTGACTATTATAATAATAAATTTAAATTTAACAATACAATGTTTTTCTATTTATTGTTAAAATCTAACATTGGTTTATATTATATAGAAAACTGACGAGTTGTTGGAACTTTTGAAAATGAGTGCTGATGAATCGGCACTTTTCAGATCTCGAAATTGGGACCAAAATGCATCTTCTTTAGCTAATATGCCCATAATACGCATACAAAGGTATTTTCACTAATAAAAGTTATTTTATTTTTATCCGATTAATTTTAATTAAATTTAATAAATAATAATAGGCTTCATCAGTTAATTAATCGAAATACTGTTGATGATTTACATGCATTTTGTAAATACCATGGATTTGAAACATTATCACAGTTTATTATAAAAGACAGATATCTAAATGAAGAGAATGTTCTTAAATGTATGGAGATGCTACATGCTTATTTGCATCTTGCATGTTCATTGGAAGAGGGTAAAGAATATGTGAAAGCATGGAAAACACGCTTAGAATTTGCAGCTTCACTTTTAACATCTTTGCATCCAAATATGGACAATAAAATTTACCTTAGAACATTAGGTTATTTTATAAAAAATATTTTTTTAAAAATATTTTTTGTTTCTTTATTATAATGCTTACTTGATTTCAAAAAAAAAATTTCTTTTAGACATTCTATGCCTATTCTTAAAAATGAAATGTAATTCTGAACTTGTTAGAGATTGCTTAAAATTATTGATCGAAGAACATTCCAAATGGCAAAATAGATTATCTAGTCTTACGAAAGAAGGTAATGATGATTTTTTAGAATAATTTATTTAACGATAACAAGAACAGTATTTATTAATAATAGCAATAATATATTATCTATTATATAGATTTACTTTTAAATTTTGGTGGTAATCAATCAATTTTTCAACGTCTAAAATTATTTGAAGAAGAAACTGAAAGTTTGGGCATTAACAGTAGCAATATAGAAACACCTTCAATACACTTTTTCAGACCTTTCCTTCTCAGATTGCAACAAAAAAATGACATAATCCATTTACAAAATGAATTGTATAAACCTTATTTTAAATTGATAGAACAATTAGCCTTTTCAGGGATAGAAATAGAAGAATTTGATAAACGGTCCTAAAATTAAAAATAATATTTATTTTATTAATTTAAAAAAATCAAACTTACATTAAGATATAAATAAACCAAAAAGATTATGGCTTCATTTCCAACAGCTTCTTCTTCTGCACGAAGTGCAATATCCCAAATAAGATCAATTCCTGTAAGATCACCTTGTATTAGAATGCCAAGTTGAACTTGAGATGGTGGATTTGGTGAAGACTATTGTTATTGTTATTTTTATCATTATTGTTTTGATGATTATGATAATAATATTATTTAATAATAATTATCTTAATAGTAATAAAAATGATACATACAGAACGTAACCTTCCGTTTTTAGCATTAACTTTTAACAAACAGTTTTTAGCATATTTAAATGCTTGATCAGACATGAACCGAACATCCAATTCAGCGAAACGATTGTTAAAAAAATGCTCAGTGAAATAATCATATTCTAGTATATTGTCCAGGGAAGCAAATGCCTCGTCTTGTTCCTTTTTTCCTATTGCATTAGCTATCAAACAATTCCAAATTATGTCGGTTTGAGCCGTTGATGTAAAAAAGGGAACCTCAAAATTTGCTATCCATTGAATAAATTGTAGACGCGAAATTAGTTGATCACGTAATATGGACATTTTTGATGAAGGTAAATCTATCAATAACATATTATATGATGAGAAGGATGATGTTTTTTAGAAAAAAATGAACTTTCATCTAATTCAATTTTTTTTTTGTTAATCAAAAAAATCAAAAAAAAAAACCATTGATATAAATACCTAGATTTAAAACATTTGGTTTATCATTAAGTTTTCCTGCACATGCTCTCACAGTCTTTGACCAATGTTCCAAATCGTCCAAAAATAATTGCGGTAATCCCATACTTGATATTAAATGTTTAAGGTAATCATTTGTGGTCAACTCTTGGTTGGGAAATGGGGGTGCTAAAATCATCATCATCATCATAATCATTGTAGTCGTAGCAATTAACAAACAGCAAGTAGTTAACATTATTATTATATAGCGTCATGATCACAT